TGTATTGCGTGTTTTGTTGCACGTTTCGGGTTAATTGATTTAATTGTTGTGTTATTTGATCTAATTGTTGTGAGATGTTTACAATAGGTGAGTTTGCAAGATTAGGGATCGCAGTCGCTAACGTTTGGAAGGCTGTGGCAATGTTTTCGATGTCTTGTTGCGCCATGTTGTAAGTGACAAGAGAAAGATGAGGTATGAGATACGAGAAAGATAAATAAGAAAAATTCCTGTATCTCGTGATAGAATCTCGCGTAACGTCACGTGAACAAACCCACAGAATTAATCTGGTCGGAGAGTCCACTGTAGTTCCGAAAATATTACCACCCTTTCACTATTACTATAGGGAGTGCTTATTTTCGGAGATTAGACGTTCGTGTAACAGAATCAATGGCAAGTAATGACGAAAAGACGGAAACCGTTTAAATAATATATTGATATGAACATCTTAATGTGTATTTAAACGATCTCCGTTTATTAATTCGAACGACTTAAAAAGCCTTACACCAAACTTTAAACAAGTAACTGTAAGTCAGATCGAACACAACTTGTATCTATTACACGCAAAACTTCATGGACGAAATTGGGAGTATTGTTGTGATAACGAGACTATATACACAAAATTTTGGGAAGGTGCTTATTTCGGAACTATTCGGTATTAAAGTTACGCGTATTACTACAACGAAGCAGTATCAGACATTTGTGGGAACATTCTACAAAACGAACAATACTCGGTCTTTTGACTAGGGTGGCATATCTGTTGTATATCATTGCGTCACTGGGATGTATTTCATCATCTGTGGCACGCAATTTATATATATCGCTGCAATCAAATTTGAGTTATTATATCATCCTAGTCCTTATTTTTATTCACATAAGGTATATTTCCATCGCCATCACCTGGGCACGTTACTAACTTCTTTCGACTTTTTCTTGATACTTATTCGCCATTAGAGAGTCGTTCTATTCCTAATTAATTTTCCACATTAACCGTCAAATACACGTTTACAGTAATATTTTATGAAAATCTTTCCGGGGGATTTTATCTCATAGGTATATGAACCCACGATGGATGGTAGACGGACCATACTTTCTTAAGATACCTAACAACATAATCATAATAACTAGTGTCATCATCCTAAAGCGCAGGAAAATACTGAAGTTTGTATACACCCTTTCGTCATATAGTTATCA